TACAATAGTCAGGCCTTGGACTGGTCTATCAAGAAAAAAACATCCAGACAAGATGGCAGTTTAGCTCATGCCTCTGTTTAAAGAATTTAATTAAAAGTGCGCCTTGCAAAATTTGTACAAGAAAAAATTATATTTTCACTAAAGCCAATGCCAAATCATTGTGCATGTATTGGAAGATCAATGTGAAAAAAGGTTCAAAAGAGAAAGTCTGTAACTTAAATGGCATACATATAGTGCATCAGTGTGCAAGCACGTCTAACCCTCGGAACATAGGGAACAAGAGTTCCACGATCTCATACCTTCGCCAAATGATGTTAACCCTTGCGGTTGACGAATTATACAATTCTAATCATTGATTTTGCAAATAAGAGCTTCATTTGCATGAATTATATTAATTGATCATATTCTCCACCCAATGACAGCCTTATCTTAACAAAATGGCTATTATAGCACTTCATCATAAATTATGCAAATGAGGTCATGATTTGAATAAATTATGTTAATTGGTGTTTGCCTTCACTTAACTTCCAAATGTGTCAAGTATGAAATTCCCAGTAGTTACAACTATTAAATTATAAAAGTGTCCCTAATTATGCAAATTAGGTCTTCATTTACATAATCTATATTCTCAAATGTTTTTTCGTTCTCAATTCCATGTCACAAGTGTTTCATTGTCCTATTATCCAACAAAGCAGATTTATAAAACTTCCTCATTAATTATGCAAATTAGCTCCTGATTTGCATAATTGTCATCTGATTACGTCAACCATCACTTCAGCTACCTACATGCCAAAAATCATGACAATCCGTCAACCGGTTCTTGAGTTATCCCCCTTCGAAAATTTTTCAACAAATGCTCCTGCAGTTCCAAAACAAGCCGCTAGGGGGCCCAAACTCATGTCACTTCTTCCCTACTCCAAGAGCTATCTACCAACTAAAATTCCTGACCCTAGCGTGTCCAGATGGCGAGATATCAAAACCGGAAGTTCTGCTGCAGTACCTAGGAAAGTCGCCAGGGGGCCCAAAATCTAATCATTTCTAGCTCTCATGAAGACCTACCCACCTACTAAGTTTTATGGCAATGCATATTAAGCTTCTTGAGTTATGCTGTTCACAAACAAACAGACAGACAAACGCTACTGAAAACATAACCTTCTTGGCGAAGGTAACAACAGATGTTAAACCGGATAGAGGGAGAGAGAGAGATTCACAGAGTAAATTATTTTTCATCCCAGCCCTCATTTTGCCTTTTTTTTCTGCTACAGCCCTGAGATATAACATCATGTCATGATAGTTTTTACCAAACCCAAGCAATGTTTCAGTCCCAGCAGCAGACAGTTTATCGAAGGCAGACATCATAACAAGGTTCTGGAATACAAATCATATCCAGATCTTTCCCAAAATTCGATTACCAACAGGCTAGCTTTATTGGACTCTTCCATAAAAGTGAACCCCAAAATCTTTTACTGTATTCTAGAGGTTTGTAGTTTTATGCATTGTTCTTCCAGCTTTTTGAATCCAAAAATTAAATTGATGTGGAGTCAGCGGATATCATAACTAGGTTCCTGTCAGTCATGACCCCCCAGGTCCCATCCCCGGTGCCTGATGATACAAGCCCTTCTCCTGGGCTCCATTAGAACACCTCTGTATCAGATCCACAGCTTTTACCCATTATAAAATATGCAAAAAGTTTACACATGTGCCCTTGGGTGCTCCAATATCCTAAGTTATAATTGGTTTACAAATTCAGAGTGTATTTAAGTTTTTATGTGTCCTCAGCTGACATTTCTACAGCGTTACGTAAGTGGTTTCAAATGTGAAAGTTTAGACTGAGCCATTCAGACAAGGCTTCTTGAGTCTTTGGCATTTTTGGCTCAATAAATGTTCATCAGTATTAGATATCCTGAAATGTCTAAGTTCAAGTAAATCCTGAAACTGCACGTACACACACGTATATAACTTTGAGGACTGATTCAACATTACCTTTTTTCTTCTTTTTCTTTACTTCGTGTACTTGGACAAAAGCCACCATGCAGACTGCAACATCAGCCTCCTGACATGATTGTTAGAAAAACTGTGCACACCTGGCGCCCATACAGCTTCAAAATCTGATAACTCCAAAACAGTCAAAAAAAGATCCTCAGCTGACATGACATTCCTGACAAGGACCCAAACAAAAAAGACACCATAGCCAAAACAGCTGCAAGATCAGCCCAAGGACATAAAGTCCAACATTATTTAAGACATC